GGGGGCCCAGCACAGAGGGCCCGGGAGAGGGCCAGCCGGGAGACCCCAGACTCTGGAGAGGCCAGGGCTGGGCCACAAGGGTGTCCCGCAGAGACCCTCGGCCAGAAGAGACCCTCCTGGGCAGCCACGGCGCCCCCCACCCAGCCCCGATCCCCCCCACCTACGACGGGCTCTCGGGTGGGAGGCAGGGGGCAGACAAACCACACCGCCAAGGGATTTGAATTAACTCAGCCATTTTTGGAGAACTTTGGGGAACATGGAAAAAAACAAAAAAACAAAACAAAAAAAAAAACATTTTTAAAAGAAAAACGGGGAGAAAAAAAATAGCTTCTATTGATGAGTTTTATCATCTCAATTGAATCTTTCCTTTCCCTGATGAATGAGAGCTGGTGGCCGAGTGCGGCAAAGAAGCCGGAAGGAAACGGAACCCCAGCGCCCAGCACCCATCACCAGACACACTCATATCCACACACGTTCTCAGACACACACAGGAGTGCTTGCCGGTTATACCAAACCCTACTATTACTGCCTGCAGAAATCAATTTAAAAAAATAATAACAATAAACAATTTTAAAAAGGACAAAAAAATTAATGATTGAGAAAAGAGGCATTTTTTTCTGACATTTGGTCCTGCTTGAAATAACAAAAGAAGAAAAAAAAAACCCACCATGACCACCGATTCCTTTGCTTCTTTTTTCCTTTTTTCCTACCTTGTTTGAAAACCGTGGGCTTGGGACTGTGAATTATTGCATGACATTCAAAAAGAAAAAAAAAAATAAAAAAAGTTGAATCAAAGGGTTTTTGGATGGGAGTGGTCTTTATCCCTTGGCTAGGTGCTGCCTGGGTGGGTCTCTCTTGGGGAATCATACAAAGAGGCACTTTGTTAGCTCCTAGAAGCAGTGTTTGAAAGCGACAAAGAGGCCAGGCATTGTTGTGCACGCCTGTAATCCCAGCACTTTGGGAGGCCAAGGCGAATGGATCGCTTGAGGTCAAGAGTTTGAGACCAACCCGACCAACATGGCAAAACCCCATCTCTACTAAAAATGCAAAAAAAAAAAAAATTAGCCACGCGTGGTTGCACACACCTGTAATCCCAGCTACTCCGGAGGCTGAGGCACGAGAATCACCTGAGCCTGAGAGGCGGAGGTTAACAGTGAGCCAAGATCCCACCACTGCACTCCAGCCTGAGTGACAGAGTGAGACTCTGTCTTTAAAAAAAAAAAAA